ATGCTTTCAAACTAGTATAGCATTCCTGTTTCTCCAAAGTCCTACCAATTTCAGATATTATTTTCAAACTTTGGGGTCCTTGCCTAACTTATGGGTGAAAACTAGCTTCTTATTATTTTAATCCTGTTTTCCTATTTGAGAAATACAGAGTGAGTTCTTCCCTTTTTATTCTCAAGTTCCAGCTCTCTGAACTTTCCATTATAATATCTTGCTTTGTCCTCCCAACTGCCCTTTGAAATTGTTCAGCTTTTTCACTTTAACATGTTTTCCTTTAAATTTGGCTTTCATCATGTATGATATCCTTAATATCATCCCACAATTCATCTGGTCTTCTATCATTGGTGTTCAATTCCTCAAACCTTTTCTTAAGACAATCATGAAATTCATATGGAATAGATTCAAGATCATATCTTGGTTCCTGTGGGCTTACTTTAATTTTGTTTGGCTTCAATTTGAACTTGTATATGAGTAATTGATGATCTGACCCACAGTCTGCCCCTGGCCTAGTTTTGACTACAAATATTGGGCTTCTCCAGCAATTTCTTCCACAAATGTAGTCAATCTGATTGAATACTATGCAGTCCATTAGGTGAAATCCACATGTAAAGTTATCTTTTGTCTCTTTTAGAAAAAGTATTTGCAATGAATAAATCATTATAAATACAAAATTCAGTCGTTCTATTTCCAGCTTCGTTTCTATCTCCAAGCCCATATTTTCCAACTACTGTTCCTTCTTCACTGTTTCCTACTTTTGCAATCCAGTCACCAATTACCATTAAAGCATCCTCATTGCATGTTTGATCAACTTCACACTGCATAGTTTGGTAAAAATTTTCAATTTCTTCCTCTTTGGCTCTAGATGTAGGAGCTTATATTTGAATAATAGTTGTGTTAACAGGTCTTCTTTATATGCATATGGATATTATCCTATCACTCACAACACTATATTTCAGACTAGAACTTGAAATTGATTTTCTGACTATGAATGCAATTCTCAAGTTGAAAGAACTGAGAAACAAATTAAAATTAAATATTGAAAGATGATTGGGGCAATATATTGAATGACCCAGAAAGCATCAAAAGAAGATAGAGAGAATATATAGAGTCACTGCACCAGAAAGAATTGATTGACCCTGAAAATTTAAGGACATACAATATGAACAGGAACCAAAGGTAATGAAGGAAAAAGTAGAAGTTGCATTGAAAGTATTGGCAAAAATTAAGGCCCCAGGAATCAATGGGATACCAATTGGCTTGTTTCAATTAACAGATGCAGCCTTGGATGCAGTCACCATCTATGCCAGGAAATTTGGAGGATGGCTGGCTGGCCAGAGAATTAGAAGAGGAACATATTTGTTCCCATTCTCAAGAGGGGTGATCCAACTGCATGTGGAAATTATCAAACAACATGCAAGTAAAATACTGCTGAAGATCATTCAAAAACAGCTGGGTAATACAAGATATATTTGCAATTAATAAATCATTGGTTATACAAAATAAACAAACAAAAAATAGCTAGAACAGTACAGACATAAGGAACTGCCAGAAGTTGAAACAGGATTTAAAAGAGTCTGTGGCACCAGGGATATCATTGCTGATGTCAGATGGATCCTGGCTGGAAGTAAGGAATACCAAAAGAATGTCTATTTGTGCTTTATTGACTATACAAAGATATGACTGTGTGAATCATGACAAGTTGTGGCTGACATTGAGAAGAATGGGAATCCCAGAGCACTTAATTATGATCATGAGGAACCTATACCTGGATCAGTAGGCTATTGTGCAAATGGAGCAGGGGGGCACTGCATGGTTTGGAATGGGAATCTGTTAGGGTTGTATTCTCT